TCTTAGTTCTGTTTTAGAAAATTACAATTGAGAGCTTTCTGCAACAGCGTTTGAGGGAGTGGATAAGACGGCACTACAGCCCTTTTGTAATGCTAATGAACGGGTAGGGATGGATACTGGTTTTTAAGGCCTTTTCTGTACACAGTTATATGTTTCAGAAGCAGAGACTGGCTTCTGCGATATCTGAGCGTATGAGATAACCAACCAGCAAAGCTACCTACTTACAAGACTCATCCATCGTCCCATAAAGAAATCCAGTGGGGTCCTTTATAAATCTGACAATGGCTATACTCCTGCATTTTAGTGGTAACATCTTAATACAGTACAGGAATGTGAAAAATGAGAGGGATTTTTTTCCCTCTTGACTATATCAAAATATCATCTCCTGCCCCACGGCTCTGAGGACTCATAATTCCCCTCTTGTATTATTCCTTTCTGTGTGCCTCTTTCCTATTCCTTCATAGTTCTATATTTTTCAGTTCTTAGTGATATCTTTTGTTTAAAGTTTCCCATACAGAGCCTTAAGCTTTATAAATGCAGTAAGTACACTCATCTGTAGTATTATCATTCAGAAGAACAAAACCTAATATGTATTTTGGTAGCAACGGTACCAGATTTTCAATAACTTAGAGTAACTTAAAATCTGAGTGGTGGTGGTGCGAGGTTCTGTTGCTGCTTACCATTCAGTTCCACTTGTGTCATTTCTCATTACATGTGCCAGTCTTCGGAGAGAACGCTCTAGAGTCAGACTGCTTGGGTTCAAATCCAGGCTCTACCACATACTAGTTAAGTGACCTTGTGCAGGTTTCTTATTTATCCTCTCTGCAGTTGTGGTTCCTCACTTGCAAAAGAAGGATAATATCATTATCCTTCATTGCGCCCTTATGAAAAACAAATGAGTTCATACCTATAAAGGAATAGACCAGTGCTTGGCAAATGATACAGACATCATTTTAGTGACTTACAGTTACAGTTAAGTATAAATTACAGTTGCCCCTTGAATACGGTGCGGGTTGGGGCACCACCCTCCAGGGCCAAAAATCTTTGAATAACTTTTGACTCTCCCCAAACCTAACTACTAAAGACAGTTGTTGATCAGAAGCCTTACCAATAACTTGAACACTCAATTAACACCTATTTTGCATGTTCTATTATACACTGTCTTCTTACAATGATGTAAGCTAGAGAAAAGAAAATCATGAGAAAAATATATTTATAATACTGCCATGTGTTTCTAGAAAAAAAATCCAAGTGTAAGTGGACTCGCATAGTCAAACCCATGTTGTTCAAGGGTCAACTATACTGAGGCTCTAAAATGATATGATGGGGCAGCCCGGGTGGCTCAGCGGTTTAACGCCACCTTTAGCCCAGGGCATGATCCTGGAGACCCCGGATTGAGTCCCACATCAGGCTCCCTGCATGGAGCCTGTTTCTCCCTCTGCCCCTGTCTCTGCCTCTCTCTCTCTCTCTCTCTGTCTCTCATGAATAATAAATAAAATCTTTAAAAAAAATAAAATGATATGATGAGATAGGTACCACTATTACTCTCCTTTTGCACCTTAAGAAACCAGGCACAGGAAGACTAATTTGTCTCATCTGGCCCAGTTAGTAACTGGAGGATTGGCCTCAAACCCATAGCGGGCACTCAGTAAGTGTTACTTCTTATTGTTGTTGGAGTTATTATCTGAATTTACACACTCAATCATATCTGCTATTGCTGCTAAAAATGATGAATTGTACTTCTAAACCTTCTTCAAATTATACAAAAAATGTATATGGTCCCCAATGGATCAGTCAATTTCGGCAAGGATTATCACCTACAGCCATTGCCATTAGGTAACATTTGTAGTGAAATAAGAGATTACCACAGTGCCAAAGTGTCACCCCCTCAGGGAACTTGTTAATTGGAAAGGCAGAAAAAGTACCTTTACGATGAGAGGTCCCTGGAGTGAGATCACTACCTCAAGCCATGATCAAACCGAGAGTCACAAATAGAGGGACAACCTGGCATTATGTGCCTCCTGATGAGATGCAATATGGAGTGACTTGTAAAAAATGTTCAATTGAAATCTAATCGATGCTCAGGCTGAACCTGGGAGTTTACAGGAAATACAGGGGGTAGAGGAGCAAATTAAATGACACCATGAGGCAACAACAAATCCAGAACGTGGGATATCCTCCAAGATAACTGGCCTAACCCTCCAAAAAAATCCGGTTATCAAATAAAAATATAAAGCCCAAGTGCAAAAATGTGCTTTTCTTTATAAAAATTAGATCCTATTTTTTTTAAAAGGTATAGACAATAGGGGGTCAGATGGTGAAGGTTAGATATGGTCTAAGTATTAGATGAAATTACGGAATTACTGTCGGTCTTTTTTTTTTTAAACTGTCCGTCTTCTTAAGTATAATGATGGCGTTGTGGTTCTATAGGAGAATGCCCCTATTCTTAGATGTGTACCCAATTATTTAGGAGTGGAGTGTTGCTTTGTCTGCAAATTACAAGTAGTTCTGAAAGAAATGCACAAAGATGAAACAAATATGGCAGAAAGATAGCAGTTGGTGAGTCTAGCAGGTAAGGTAGAGGTATTCGTTGTACTAATACTTCAAACTTTTTTCGTTTGGACTTTTTCTTCACTTTCTTCATAAAATGTCTTATATCTTCTTTGGAGAGCATGTGAGACTTTTATCTTCATGTACTTAGTAATAGTTTCTTTTAATTCTCTATAATGTTTGTGAATGCATATTTAAAAAGAAATTTTTAAAAATCACTTACTGAATTTCTATTTGCTCAACCTTACTGAAACCTGATAGTAACTTGAAGAGTGCTCCATGTTAATATAGGGCCTGATACATAGTGAACGCCCAATAAATGCTTGTAAATGCTTATGTGTTAAATTTATTTTGTTCCTGAGAATTTTAAAGTTGCAGGCAGAAAGAAAGAAAGAAAGAAAGAAAGAAAGAAAGAAGAAAAAAGGAAGAAAGAAAGAAAGAAAGAAAGAAAGAAAGAAAGAAAGAAAGAAAGAAGACTGTTCTTCCTTTGCAGATCAAGAAGATATGCTTTAGCAAATACTTGAGATGGACAAAATGGGAGTGAAGCAACCCCATCTTGTGATTCAAATAACTTAGGTCACAAAGATTCTTAACCACATTTTGAATTTTTAGGACAGGATGAAAATGAAGAATCCGGCCCTAAGACTAATCCAGCAGCAACTGTTACTTATTTAAGAATTCCCCATGGAATCACACTTGATGACACATTTTGAACAACTGTAGATTTTTCTTGATCCAGGAAAAGAGGCAAGTCCTGCTCAAGTTCAGGCGTGAGTGCTGTAAGGCACCAGCATCAGCAGGTGTTATTATACTCTGAGAATCAATACATTTGTGGGAATCGGGGATGATTTTCAACTCTTCCAGAAGGCAGTGGTTCTAAGAGAGATGAGGTATATTTTGTATAAAAGTGAAAAAAAAAGATCAATTCAAAGCAATAATTAATGATACAAGTTTGCATTTTTAGAGTGCTTTTTTTCCTAAGGCACTTCGTATCTGTGTGAGCTCATTTATTCTCATAGTATCTCTGTGAAGTAGACATAGAACAACTGAACTAACAGAACAAAAGGGATTTTCATCAGGACATAAGATGTGGGAGATATTCAGAAGGATATCTTAGTAGCAATAGAATTATTACTTAAATCGATACTGAACAAATCGATAGTGTTCCTCCCTTCTGCTTCAGAAAAGTCATTTAAAAAAATAAAATAAGTAATATATTAGGGAAAATAAGCCTATAATTTATGGGAGACACTCCAAGTCCGATCTTATTCAACAATACAGGCCTTCTCTCTTTACAAAAAACAAAGTTCTCAAAAAGAGTACAAATCATAGTTTTTAAAACTTGAAATTTAAATGCACTTCGATGGTTCTGTATTTACAGTGTTCTTTATTTAACAGTGGGTTTTGTAGAGGTTTTCCTTAAAATTACATTATAAACATGAAGTTTTATAAACAATACTGGGTTGTTAAAGCAGAGTCTACTTACACTAAACGTTCTTTCTGAAACCAAAAATAAGAGAAAAAGGAGAACCCCCACTGAAGAACCACTCAGTCTATGATAAATGCAGTTGTATAGAACAAAAGATGCTTCAACCTGAGGTTTCCACCCTCAGATGACATAACATGAGCACATGCAACCCCTTCAGAATCAGAATTTTAGATCCTAAACATTTCCCTCTTAATTTATATGGGGCTGAATATTTTCAGTAATGTGCAGATTAAGTTACTCATACCTTATTAACAAGGACCCATTCCAGGTATGTAAACATGGTATTTTTAATTTAGTGAAATCCTTCGTGGGTATACTCAACCCCCATATTCAGGAGTAGTTGGGGCAAAGAGCACAAAGGAGCTGTCTTCAGCTCAATGCCTGAATTGGGCACCATCTTAGGGACCTGGCACTAATTATCAATAAAGAGATAAAGATAGACAATACTCTCTCAAAACCTATTTCAACATAAAGTTTTCTTTTTGTAAAGAGATCCAAAGTGGTATTCTCTGTAAAGGTACGATAAATACTGACAGAACTAGAAATGTACATAAAAGAGCCATCCTGACCCTACAGTGCCAATGTTCATTCATTGCTGCCCAGACCTTCATTCCCGCCTTCAATTGGATTTCAGTGCCAACAATGGAGAGGTGGGATTTCACCTCTGTAATGGGTCTAAAGTCTCCCTGGGATGGCTCAGAGGCCAATTAGTGGAGAATTTTGTGTGCTGGACTGGATAAGGAACAAGTTCTTCTGCTGGAAGTCGAATCGCATCACACCAAGCATTGTTACAGCAAAAGACATACAGACCTTTGTGGATGGACCAAAATATAGAAAAGCAATATTTAGAGAACCCATGGGATTCATTTTAATTAGATTTGACTTATAGAGAACATCCTGCAAGTTATAAATCTATTCAAGATCTCTAGAGTATATGGCCCGACGTTGTGTAATGACATACCTTTTTGAAGAGAGGAGGTCGAGTCTATGTCTTGGCTTTGACACCAAATTAATAGTATCTTCTCTTGCAAGAAGGAAGATGAAGTCAAATATCAAAATTATTGCATTTCAGAGTACAGATCCACCTTGTGCTATCTTCCAAGGATCATACTAAAACAGGGTTCAAGTTCACAGATCCATTAATAATGCCTCCTCCTGCCTTACTTCTTACTCCCTCCTCCAAACTACCCCCAGTCAGCCCTGCAGTCTGTAGGCAAACCACACAGGAACTAGCAGATACAGGGCTTCAGAGAGTTGGGCGTGAGCCTTAGATTATGTGGTTTTGTTTTCTTGCTGCCAGAGTTGAACTAAAATGCAGGAGGTTCTCTGAAACACTTTTGCTTCTTGATGCTTGGTTTCAATTTTAACAATTTCCCCCCCGAACGATTATGTTCCCATAAGAAAATTTCTAATCCTAGAGGTGATCCATCAACAAGCTGTTGCTGCTCTGAAGGAAAACTCTGATTTTTCCCTTATTACATCCAAGAATCCAGAGGGAAAAAAAATAGGGCTTCTTCACTTCAGGGAATTTATATAAAACCACCCTGGAATCACTCACAAAGCTAAAATCCCAGAGGATATGCTTTCTCAGTAACCTCAGCCCATAATATTACTCTTAGTCCATAACATTACCCTTAACGAAAAACACAAGAAGAAAAGCTCTGAGCCAGTTTTGCCAATCAGGCATGAACTGGGACGGGTTCCTTAGATTTGGGGGATTTCTCTTTCTCCTAAGTTGGTTGGGCTAAAGGATTTCTGGAATTTAAAGAGTTTTCACTGACTGAAGGTTCTTGTCACCATCAACTTCTTTAGTTTTTACCTTCAAATTTGTGAAAAACCCTCCTCCCCTTTAGGTTCCCATACCAAGTGCAACTTGTGAAGGCCTCTTCCTCTCTTTGCTCTCACTAGCAATGGATTGCCAACGATGCATCTTTTGCACAAAGTAAGAGACATTGCAGCTTGCTTAGTGGCACCAGTCAGAGTTTGGGCCCAAGAGAAAGAGGGAAATGCTGGTTGACAGGATGTTCCCAGTATTTATCCCTTGAATGCTCAGAAGGATATCATATAAAACTCAGTTTGGAGTTCTAAAATTTAAACTCATTTTACATCATAAGATGATATCCTTTCTAAAAAATCTTTTCATCCCCTTTATACCTAAATCTTTGAAATGTCCTTTTTTTTTGGGGGGGGGGGTGAGGGGGTGTCACTCCTTGGTGATAATTGCTCAACGCTTTTATTGAAATACAAAAGAAGAATCCGGTTTGGAATCATCAGAGTACTTTGGTCACAGGAGGTGCTCAATAAATATTTATTGAATGAGTTAAAGGAAGGAATTTGCTACTCCTGACTCCTTAATGAAGGTTTTTCTTTTTGTTAATACAAGTTCATTACATTTTCTTAAATCCAAGTTGTGTCTGAACAGGGTCCCCACTATTTTCACATGTTGCAAAGATAGAATTTTAAAGTTAACAGAGTGGTCACTGACTTCAGAACAATAAATATCTTGGGGCACCTGGGTGGCTTAGTCAGTTAAGCATCTGCCCTCCGCTCAGGTCATAATCTTGGGGGTCCTGGGATCCAGCCACATTCGGCTCTGCTCAGTGGAGAGTCTGCTTCTCGGCTTCTCCCTCTCCCTCTTCCTCTCCCTCTGTGCTCTCTTTCTCAAATAAATAAATAAAACCTTTTAAAAAAAACCCTAAAACAATAAATTCTCACTGTGGGCCTCAGTGTTCTTCAGTCTTCATGGTCTAAGGACCTTCTGGGATCCCACCATTATACACAACAGCTTCATAGCCAGTTGTCAGACACTGAAATCCTCTGGCCACAGTCCTTATCCCAAGTCAGTGGTATTGAACAGTGAGGCCCTAAACTCCCATGGCTGGAGAGTGAGAAGAAAGGAGAAAAGATAAATAGTGTTCTATAGGAAGTATTATGGAGTTTTCGGCTTGCACCCTAATGAGGAAGCTACTTTTCCACAGGGTACTATCTCTCCAGGAAGCAGAATAGAACTCCTCCCTTTACAAGTGTGGGACAGAATGCAGAACAGGAAAATCTCAAAAAGAAGTTATTTCAGCAGCAAGTAATGATCAACAGATGTGTTATAGAGCATATTGACAGGGGAGCGAGGCCACTCTAGTGGTTTATTTCATGGATGCTCCATAACTGAACAAGTACAAAGGCAGAACCGAAGAATAAAGACTCTAATATGAGAATGCCATCATTTCAGCCCTCACAATCATGGGGCACTCAGAAAATATAGGCAAAATTGTGAGGATTCAAGAATCTGTAAAATTTGGACTTACTCATAACAGAGAAGTTCCTTTTGAAACCATACTCATTTAAAATTTTTCAGCAGTTCCTTTTTTTTTTTTTTTTTTTTTTAAGATTTTATGTATTTATGAGAGACACAGAGAGAGAGGCAGAGACACAGGCAGAGGGAGAAGAAGGCTCCTCACAGGGAGGGACTTGATCCCAGGACCCCGGATCATGCCATGAGCCGAAGGCAGATGCTCAACCACTGAGCCACCCAGGCATCCCTCAGCAGTTCCTTTTGAAGGGTTGATGTTAATATCAGAATCTCTTGTACATAATTACATTTAATTTACCTTTATAGTAGAATGCGTACTTCTCATTCAATAATGCAGATTCAGACATTCTCGTTTGATTCACTCAGTAAATAATGTTCGAATATCTACTCTGTGTTAGGCCTATTCTAAGTGCTGGGAATATAGCCACGAACAAAACGTAGTCTTTACTCTTACTGGATCTTACCTTCTGGCAGACAGAGAAATAATTACGTATATCAGATGGTTGGACTATTAAGGAGAATTATAAAATGGGGCAAGAGTTAGAGGAAGTGTAGCGGGGGGGGGGGGGGGTTGTGATTTTATTGGGAGATCAAAGGACACCTGAGCTAAGTCCGGAACAAAGTGAGGCAGCCAGCTTGATGACTCTCTGGGGAAATAGTTTTGCAAGTAGAGGGGCTAGCAAATGCAAAGCCTTATGGTGGGAGCAAGCTTGATGCAATGAATGAGGAGGAGAGGAGTCATGATAGAGGTCAGAGAGGAAGCAGGAGCTGAAACACGTTAGGGCCTTGTTGGCCTTGGCAAGGTCTTTGATTTCATGCTGAGTAAGATGGGGGCCAATGGAAGATTTTGTTTTTTGTTTTTTTTTTTCCAATGGAAGATTTTGAACTGGGGAGTTACATCATCTAATTTGGGTTTTGAGTTTTAGAAAAATCACTCTGATTGTTGTGTTTAGATTAAATTGTAAGGGAGCAAGAGAAGAAGAAGGAAGACCAGTTAGAAGGCTATTGCAATGGTTCCAGCAAAAGAAGGCAGCACCTTAGGACACCTGGTGGAAAGTGGAGGTGGTGGGAAATGACCGAATTCTGAATATACGGGGTGTCCATAAAGCCTGGAAACATAAATATTATTTTACTGTGAATTAGAATGTGGCATTGATAAACCATTTATTACCTACCAACTGCATATTACCTAGACTTGGTGGCTGCCCTGCATTAAAGGCAAGCTGATGATATGATGTGAAGTCTGAGAGTCAAAGTAGAGCACCTACAATGACTCCAGGGTTCATGGCCTGAGAAACTAGAAGCAAAGACATGTCATTATTGAGATGGGGGAAAAAGCTTGGAAGATCAGAAGTTTGGTTGGGGGCATATTAAGTTTGAGATGTCTCTGAGAAATACAAGTGGGGATGTCAAAATAGATATGAGTCTGGAGGTCAGAAGAGGTTAGGGCTGGAGATAAAAACTTGAAAGTTGTTGAGAGATAGAGAAAAGGTTATTTAAAGTTATGACACTGGATAAAACCACGCAGGGAATGAATATTGATAGAGAACAGACCCCTTCAAAATTGAGAGGTCAGAGAAATGAGAAGAAAACAGCCAAGGAGATGAGAAGGAACAATGGCTTCCTGGAAACCAAGTGAAGAAAACTTTGTTCACTTTTATTAAATTCTGAGTTCAGGGGAAAAACACACCAAGTTATTATTGTCTGTATTTGGTGAGTGCAACTAAATTATGGTGCCCCCAAATGGAAGAAAGCAGAGAGGAAGGACTCTCACATGTTAGTTTAACGAACTTAATTCCACTAGGTAGGTAACACTTTACAGTTTTGCTGAGCCTGACCAACATCCTTTCAAATACACGCATAGATTCATTCTAAAAGGAGGAAATGAGGGGGATCCCTGGGTGGCTTAGCAGTTTAGTGCCTGCCTTCCGCTCAGGGTGTGATCCTGGAGTCCCGGGATCGAGTCCCACATCGGGCTCCCTGCATGGAGTCTGCTTCTCCCTCTGCCTGTGTCTCTGCTTCTCTCTCTCCGTGTGTCTCTCATGAATAAATAAATAAAATCTTAAAAAAAAAAGGAGGAAATGAATGGGTCTAAAAAGAAAAAACTGGGGTCTCCAATGTTTTCCAAATACAATAGGTAGACTTGTGACTGAGAATGTCAATGGAGGAGAGCCTGGCTGGCTCAGTTGGTGGAGCGTGTGGCTCTTGATCTTGAGGTTGTGAGTTCGAGCCCCATGTTGGGTGTAGAAATTACTTAAAAACAAAATCTTAAAAAAATAAAAGAAGAAGAATGTGCAACATCAAGATGGAGTGCAACATCAAGAACCAAAAATTGGCCCTTAGGGTAGAGGAAAGGGCATAGACTTGGACACTGCAAATTTGGGTCAAGTTCTAGCTAAATCACTTGCTAGGTTGAATATTTCTGGGCAATTTGTGTAACCTATTTGTTCTCTCAAACTCAGCTCAAGTTCACCTCTTCCAGGAAGACTTCTCTAATTATGTAGATTTAGACAAATCCTCTTTTACTCCCAAAGCACTTTTATCACAGCAACTAATTATAATTGCTAATTTATTTTTGTCTTTTTAATTAGACTATTACTTCTTTGTATTCCCGTAGCTCAGCATAGTGCCTGGCACTTAGCAGGTGCTCAATAATGTAGAATGAATGCATGTTCCCCAAACTCAGCTTCCTCATTTGTAAAATGGAATAATTATATCTACTTTTCAGAGTTCCTTTGAAATTTATATAATCCATGACTTGAAAAAAAAATCTTCCTAAACTATAGCTCACTATATAAATAAAATACTTGTTTGTCCCTCACTGTTTTATAGAATAACACCTTAGCA